CAAAGAAAATGAAACCATTGTTATCATGGTATTTTTCAACTACCAATTCACTTTTTATTTAAGTGGTCATAAGAACTATTAAAAATTTGTTTTTCATCAAGTTTCTGATGATATTGCAAAGAATTAATATTCAAAAGTAAATCTTAACAAATGTTTAGAATGATTTTAGCTGATTTCAATTTCTAGATTGTTCTTTTTTGGCTTTACTACGTCCCCACTGGGACTTTACGACGAGTCTCAACTTGTTCTAAGAGCACTTTCATAGTTGTTAATTGAGCGCTTTCTGTGCCTGTACCATGTTTGCATTAGTATTATTGTGTGGTAAGCAGGGCGTTACAATATCAGCTTCTATCGAAAAAATCGATGCGACGAAGAGACTGCTAGCACATAATGGATGCTTCGAATCCAAAAGTGGCTCCATATTATGTTTGTGAACACTAGCGCACCTAGCGGTAGAAGGCAAGCTTTGCCTGCAGTTTATATTGGCACCACTTATATTCTGTGCTGCTCGCTTTCTTTTGCTGTTGAAGTCGAGCATCTGCGCAGCATTCTAGCAGCTCCGTCGGCGTCTACAAACAAATTTTATTTCATGGCAATCATAGGACTTCAAGTTCTATCAATAGTGAATGGTAAAATATCTTGATTTTTAAAAACTCCTAAAACTTTAAAGTTGTAAGGATATTGTGAGTGAACAGAAAAAATATTAATTGTTGGTGGCAAAACTTACAAAGGGTTCAACAAATAATTGGACTTAGTCAGTGGCGTCCCGTAACCTCATTTTTTACCTGTGCACCAACTTTCAAAACCAGATTTAATGCCATAATCAGTGTTGGGAAAATATCAAAAAATCAAATCTCAACCAACGCCCAAGATCACGTTTGATTTTCGTGGACAAAAATCAACAAGCAAACAACTGCGGTTGATTTTGCAAGCTGTGATATCGCAGCTCGGAATATCAAGCTAAAAAACTCACCAGCTGCAAATCTCAGCAAACTGTGGTGAGATTGAGTTTCATAATTTTCGCTTCACACCCGAATGCAACCGAAACTTCCATAACGGCTGACAGCAGTCACTTCGTGCCTGCCATCGGTGAAGAGTAAAAAGAGATAGCATACTATACTTTCTCTTTCTAAGAAAACGATGTGCAACGGAATCATTTTTGTGTCGAGTCAACTTTCAGCTTGATTTTTGCACGTTGTGAATAGTCTCACAATATCAAAGGAGCTGGTAAAATCAATATCAAGCATGATATTTTGTTCCAATACCACGCGTGATATTGCGAGCACATCAGAGCGGAAAATGTCAATTGATTTCTGATTTTGCCAACACTGGCCATAATCATCATACTCGAATCGGTTCAAAATACACTTAATCTTCTACTTTACTCGATATCTATCCATTGCAAGCCATATTTTGATTATTGTTTACGTTTTGAGAGTTGGTGCACAGGTAGATTGATGTTACTAAAGGTGATATTATAAGAAGCGAATCGGTTGCTACGGCTACCATGACAAACTCGCTCTGTAACATAGCTCGATCGGAGTGGTAGAAGGATAATGATATATTGCTTGTCTGCTTTGTTGCAATATACACGGATGAGGACATAGCTTTATCTGAGTCGAGAATAGACATAACAAAAAATTCCCATTAACACACGTCTATCATCTTCGGCTTTACTTCGTGAAGCAATACCAACAATTTGCTCGTTTCCTTCTCGCACGGGTTGCTTGTCATGAAACAAAAGGATGAAGATTATATCATTATATTGCTTCTCACTTCTGACATAGCGTTATCATTCGGTTCGTTGATCGCTTGTCATTTTGTCATTTGGAGGTATTTTTGATTTCTTGATTATAAGTCATTTATCAAAGTCCATGAGTAGAGTTGCATCGAATCACTTCGCTATAAACATAGTGTTTTTTATTATGGAATCATTGGATGATATTTTTATTTGTAGTAAGTTACATGAAGAGGTTGAAAAATATGTGTTTGACTCATAAAACCTGTCAGCGTTTTTATGATACGTCAGCGTTCACTCAGAGTGGGCGCTCACAAATCATAACATCGCTAAGTTTGTCATTCTGGAAACAAAATGGTTTTACGTATCCAAACACATAGCGTCTAGTGAGGGAAGAGTGTCACCCCAATCATTTGGAAAATAAATACATGTTTAACATTCAGTGCAGCAAAGAGTTACTTTTCGACATTCTTTTGTATATCAACGGTCTACTTTTTTTTAGCTAAAATAAGAATGTCGAAAAGTATTATCACACTTAGTTTTTTTTTCTACCGAGCAAATCTCGGCAAATAAAGTTTTACTGAGATCTCAGCAAACATTTCATTTGTTTGCTGAGATTCAGTTAAGCAATATCCGAGACTCAGCAATCAAATGTCACTTTTGCTGAGATCTCAGTGAAACTTATTTTCGCCGAGATTTGCACAGCCAAGCTCAGTAGAAAAAACTAAGTGTGTACTTTTCGTAAAATAACAGTATCAAAGGGTATTACTTTTCAGTACCCAGTGTCGAAAAGTTAGTTTTTTTTTTTTTTTTTTTTTTTATTATAGTCATTTTAACGCTCTTGGGTCATTCGTGACTTGTCCGGGGGTGAGATTTGAACTCGTGACTTTGGCGTGAGAGGTATATATGCTAACCACTACGCCGGGGTCGCCCCCTTATAGGAAAAGTTAGTTATTTACGCAATAAGTTGCAAAACAGAAGATTTTTTTCAGCACGGGTCGTTGTTTACCCAACGACGTTTGCCGAGTTGAGCAATTACGACCAGAGCTTCCATCCCGGGATGAAGAATGAAATAAATTGTCAAATCTCGGGATCCCGTGCATCCCGGAATTTTTATTTTGAGTTACTTTTAGCATAAAAGGATCTACCTAGCTTACCCTAGTTTAGCTTATCTGGAAGTGGGGTTTGATCCCCATGGCTGTTATCGGTAATAGGATAGAGCACTACTTTGTCGTAATCGGCCATTTCCGTTCTATCGAGCAGAAATAATAATGTTCCGATGCTTTACTTCATAAGGGGCTACTAATTATCTACGTAGACATTTTCAATCACAAACGGCCTTGACTCCTATAATCAACTTGGAAATGACAACTCTCATAATTATCTAGAAAAGCAAAAAAGGCCCAAAGAAGTCCTAATGGCCTAGACTTTCCAAACTGCTAGAATTGAAACGCCAACAATGGCATTGAAATTGCAATTGAAAACAACCTTAAAATATCCAAATAACCCATTATTCTCAACAATTTGGATCATCTCAACATAATTTTAAATTCAGATAAATTTTGCATGAAATTTGAAAAACATATGATAAAGTTGTTTGAATTTCTGTGACCCACCTGAGGGTAGCGACCCATAGATTAAGAAACGCTGCTCTATAGGCAAACGAGTTTATGCCAACCGACCTATGCCAAATGTGTTTCCCCCGCAGTTGAACAGGATATTGTCAGAGCTCTGCGCTGAATCGATTTTTCATTTTCCCACCATGGTGTTCCATACCTATTTGTGTCTTGTTTGCTACACGGTAACTGCAAACTCTAAATAATGACTATGTAGTACGCATTTTTTGAGGGAAAATGGTGCTACCCATTAAATGACTAATATTTCACCCATTAATCAGTAACTGTTACTCACAAGTGAATAACTGTTACTCATTTGTGTAGTAACAATTACTCCTTAATGGATAACATTTTTACTCTTTTAATGAGTACTCTAATTTTCGCTCAAAAATATGTACTGTATAGTCATTATTGAGTGTTTTGCGGTTACGGTGTAACGCAACGCATCACGCGGTGTTGATCGTCACTCTTTTGCCGTCAGCCAAGGCCAGTCACTTGGTTTGTGAGAGATGACAAAAAACCTCTGCTTTTGTGTTTCTAATCTCGTTGCTTCCTAGATTATCCTCATTTCTATATCGTTCGCTACAACGAAATTATCGATTATGGAATCAACATTGCATCGTTTCGCGTAGAACTGTTAATTTTTGTCTCTTTCGTAATTTAAATCCTATCGGGAAACAAACCATCGAAGGTCTGTCGGTCAATTTTTCTTTGTGGTTTTTCCTGCTAGGTACCATGCGCGTAGCCCTATGTTTGTTCCCTATATTTGCGAGATTGTCTAAAGTAGGACAAAGTAGGCACAAAAAAAAATTTCGTCACTCGAACAAGTATGTTTTGCTTCGATTAAACAAAACCGCACGCAAAAGCATAGCTGTAAAACCAGAAACAGATAAGACCGTTCACCGCTCGCATGAATGGTGAAAAATGTGACACAAAAATAGAAACGCGTTCTGAACTAGCCAGCCGCGAGCGTCGACGAGCGAATATCGACTTGGAAATAACTTTAAGAAGGTGCATCTAAAAGACCTGAAATTGATCAAGTGATCGATGTTGTAGAACTACGGATATGTTTTAAAATGTTGATCATAGATGAAGTATTTTCCAACCTACATCTAGCCGCTTGGCGTAGTGTGAAATGGTGGTTTTCCCCGTAATCTTCGTTGTTTTATTTCTCACTTGGGGACAGGTTTGTTCGACATTCAAAGTTCCTCATTCTTGTAGGTAGCATCCAAAAATAATTTTTAGTATGAATCTCTTTCCCTTGCTCAACTCCAGCTGGTTTTCACTCACTTCCTAGTTGCTCTAGCCAACACACAGGTGTAATAACCTCCATAATTTCGTTCGTCATTAGTAATTGCATTCACCAACCATGCACCACGTGTTGTCATGCCGAAACACGACAGTGAAAAGATAGAAGCGCATAAAATGTGCGTCACTATCTCACATTTAGCAAACGGGTCGTATTTTGTTGGCGTAGTTGCTGGTCACCCTCGGCTCTGATCTAATCAATGTATTTGAAAAACAAAAATGACGTTTCTTTTTTTCTGTTTTCTCTTTCATGCACACTTCATCTCTGACGGCGACGCGCCTCTCCACTGACGTCAATTATGGTTCGATTGCGATCCCCGATGGATTAAACCCTGCAGCCAGACAGCCCGTACCAAGGAGGTGTATTTTTCTTAACCATACATTTCCCTACAGATTATCCATTCAAACCACCTAAAGTGGCTTTTACAACACGCATATATCACCCCAACATAAACAGTAATGGTTCGATTTGCCTCGACATTTTACGATCTCAATGGTCACCTGCATTAACTATATCGAAAGGTAAGTTTGTGATTTTATTTTGTTTGTTTTAGTTAAGGCCGGGTATCTTGATTGAAATGCTGCCTGTCATTTGAGGGGGAAATCGTGTGGATTTTTTCTTTCAGTAAATGTGACATTACAATGACACACAATGTGAAAATGACGGTCAGGTGTCCCGTTTAAAAACCTAAGATTTTGATTTTTCACATGCTAAAATATTTTAATATTTTTTTTATTTTGATGCCATTCGCAATTATAGCATGCTATGTCAAAATATACATATTTAAAAAAATATGTATACATAAAAATGTGTTTTTTTAAGTATTCCATTCGGGAAACGCTTCTATAGACAACTATAGGAACCTAACGCTTCTAATGTACCGCTATAAGAGCGTTTACCCTACCTATGACTTGAAACGGAAAATGTGATTTAATTCAAGTCGATAGGTTGTATCGTTATCGAGAAATCGTTTAAATACCGTGTAAATTGCGACTCAGCTGCGGCACCGTGTAAACAAAAAACGCGTCATAAAACCGTGTAAAAAAGACTTGAGTGTCTGATATGATAACCACCAAGGCCGAATTGCATACAAACTAGTAAACTCTGACTATAGGGCTTAGATCTAATTTTGGGCGCACTAGGCACAACCCACCCTTTGCCTCTACTTTATAAGTGGATTTTTTTTTTTCACAAAATGGAATTTTTTCACTGCAAATGACTTCTACATTTATTTACCTTTCCGTACGTAAGATTTGCTAAAGAGAAACGAATTGTTAACAATCTAACACTGCTTCTTGGACCTAAAGCTCGGCCTCTATGGGCCTATTCTGCGTGTGAGGTGAGGTGACAGTGAAGTGACAATTGTCACCTCGGCTGAGGTAACTCTCCATTTGATTTGCACGGAGAGTCATCTCACCCGAGCTGACAATTGTCACTTCACAAGTGACAGCGTGTCACCTCACCTCACATGCCACGCAGAATACGCCAACTAAATTCGGCCTAACGCGTTGAATCGCCATTCAAACGCCATTGAATTCACTTCGGCCTATCGGATGGAAGATAACAATGGATTCGGTCGGAGCGCTTCTTTTGTTTTTGAAAAAAATGGGTGTAAACGTTCATATCACGCGTTCTCATTGACTTGTTCGGTAGCTTTTGAACTAAAGTATCGTACCAAACGCATAATTGATTTGTTAACTCTGAAACAATGGATTTATTTGAAGTTTTCTGCTCGATAGGCCCAGAATCGGCGATTAGGTCGAAGTAGTGCTATACCCTATTATTAATATTATTATTCATAGTCTGGCCGATACAAAATCCGGCAATCTGACAATAAAGTTTATTTCGAAAGTCTGAATGCTGTTTATGTCAAAATTCAAATCCATGCAGATAGTTGGTTTATCTTTTAAAGTTGCCTTGATTAATAAGAGCCCGCAATGTGAAAATGTTGCAAATGTTAGTGTCAGTGTTAGTGGCAACCACATTTTTTTTTTGCGTTAACGAAATTATCTGACCTGACTGATTCAGAAGTCAACAATGTTTATGTGGATGACGAAACTTCTGGTAGAAAAATCACCGATAAGACCTAAAACAATCTCAACAAAATGCTTGCTTTAACCATAGACATAATGTACTAAATGAAGCGAAAAAATGTATTTTATTGAAATTTATTGAAATATTGTAATGCAATATTTGCAGTCCATCGGCTCTGTTGATTTACTTTGCTCGTTTGGTACGCTGTTTGACAGTTCGATTGGTACTTCTGGCTTCACTCTTTGTGGAACTTTTATTAAAAGAAATAAATTTGAAATTATTTTCATTTCCCACCGAAATTAAAACTTCAAAGCGTTCTTTTTTAGCGAAAGCGTTAAACCTTTCTAAACTCGCGAGTTTTAATGATGTGTGAATAACAATAACAAACTTAACACTGTTTAAATTCAAATTGATCAGTGGCGTTTCCTTAACCTCAATCTACCTGTGCACCAACTCTCAAAACATAAACAAATTATCAAAATATTACTTGCAATGGATAGATATCGAGTAAACTAGAACGAAGTGTATTTTTCAACCGATTCGAGTAGGGTTTTTGATCTAATTTCCGTCTTACTAAGAACAACCCGTGCTTTACCTCTCTTTTCTGAACGAATTTTAACCGAAAATGGAATATTTCTGTCAAAGATGACTTCTAAATTTATCCACCTTTCCATACGTACCGTTGGATTTGATAAAGAGTCACAAATTGTTGAGATATTGTTCAAAATCTAATACTGCTTCTTGATTCTAAATTCGTTCTACGAGTTTCAATTCCGTCCTAACGCATTGAAGCGCCATTCGATTTTCTTCGTCCTACGGATAAACGTAGAAAAAGAGAATTCGCTAGGAGCGCTTCTTTTGTTTTGAGAACAATGAGCGTAAATATTCATATAATGCGCTCTAACAGGGTTTAAGTTGTAGCTAATGAACTAACGCTTTGGAACAAACCTATTATTGATTTGTGCACGGTGAAATCATTGATATTATTGATCTTTTCTGATCGATAGAACGGAAATGAGCGATTACGACGAAGTAGCGCTCTACCCTATGAATATGGTATTAAAACTGGGTTTTAAAGTTGGTGCACAGGTAAAAAGTGAGTTTACGGGACGCCACTGACATTGATCAAACAATCCATTGAAGTTCAGGGTGGCCAGCATACCGGGAAAACCGTGAAAACCAGGAAATAACCGGGAATTTGAAAAGAAGTTGTTAAAACCGGGAAAAAGCCGGGAATTTGACGAGAGAACCGGGAAAATCAATAAACCTTAGCATATTCCAACAAAAATTGAAACTTGAATAAGAGCTTGAGCTTCTTCATCAAGGAAACATATGTTTCTGCAGCTCAAAAATGGTTTATCCAGCTCTTAATTATCTTAAACCTTTGAAATTATTTGACCTTTCGCAAAAATCTCCTAAGCAATCCTTTGGGGTTCTCCTCAGAATACCTTGGAATTCTGTGCTGAATTTACGTGAAACTTTCTTAAGAATTTAATTTAAATTCTTCAACAATTTTTATTATTTTCCTTAGAACACGATTTGTTCGACATTTTGCTCGAATCTTGTTTAAAGTTCTCTTGTGAATTTTCCTCACTATTCATTTGGAATTATTATCAGAAAACCATGTAAGTTCTGTTTATATTTCTTTTTAAATTCTCCTTCAAATTCACCTGCTATTCTCCTCACAATCCGCATACACTTCAGAATTACCTAGGAATTCTCCTTGAAGTTCTCCCCACAGGCTTCCTTGTCATTATTCTAAGAGTTCGTCAGGAATTAATTTAAGATTCTTGTCAGAGCTCAGTTGAATTTTTCTTCGAGTTCTTCTCAGAGTTTTGAATTTTAAAAATTCTACGAAAATCTACTTATTAGAACCCTGAACACTTTTCCAAGACCACACAATTTTCCAGGGACTGTATTTTTCCAAATCTGGAATCTTATGTTTTTTTTCTTAATCTTGTATCTAGAAAAAAAAATTAATATCCCACATTTTGACTTTTTTTTTGGCTTAGTTTTGTATTGAAAAAAAAAAATCCATACCTGTTTTTTCTTCTAAATCTAGGATAGATTTTTATCAAGTCACAAATCTCTAGCAATCTCAAAGCCTCAGAATCATAGAAATTAAAATTGTTTTTAAGATTTATATTAGTACAGATCACGATGCTTTAAAAAAATTCTTGCTCTGTATCAAGTTCAAGATTTGTAAAACAATTTCGTAATTTTATGGCTCTCTCTAAAGTTCGGTATAATTACCCATTCAGCTCGATAGCGCTCGGCACCGTAAACAAATCTTTGACTCTGGTACTTTGTCTATTCTGGCGCTTTACAATCATAAGAGGACTTGAGTCTAAAAAAAGTTATTCAAATTGATTCACCTCGGAAATAAAGTGATACCTATTGCAATCATTATTTTTACTAAATATTAAAACCGGGAATAGGGTTAACTACCCCATTTCCGGCCTATTAAGCACAACCCGCACTTAGTATTTCTTAATCTAGCGCAGTTTAGCACCAAACGAAATGTTATTATTACTTATGGCTTCCAAATTTATTTACCTTTCCGTACGTACCGTAAGATTTGATAAAGATAAACCAATCGTTGAGATATTGTCAAAAGTCTTGACGCCAAACTCGGCCTACGGATTCTAAACTCGGCCTAACGCATTGCAACATCAATGAATTCACTTCGGGCCTATCGGATGAAGATAAAAATTGAATCGGTCGGAGGGCTTCTTTTGTTTTTGGGAATAATGGGTGCAAACCTTCATATCATGCGTTATCATTGACTTCGTTTGGTAGCTTATTAACTAAAGTATCGTACCAAACGCATAATAGACTTGTTAACTCTGAAATCATGGATTTATATGAAGTTTTCTGCTCGATCGGCCCAAAATGGGCGATTAGGCCGAAGTAGTTCTCTACCCTATTTTGAGATTTGCTCCGGGGAAAAACCGGGAATTTTAAAAGGAAAATTCATTGACCACCCTGGAAATTCCCCTCAGTGTTTTTTGACGTTTCACAAGTCAGCCCAGCTAGAGAGTGGAATTTGTTGCTGGGCTGCGCTTTTAGGCCAGTTAACGAACAAGCACTGTAGTACCACCTAAAATTATTTATTTCTTATTCGATTTAATTATCGTCATAATCTCCATCACAATGATCCACTATGAAACAGTTATGTTTGATTAGCTCCCGGCATGTGACAGGCTCAAATTGGCTCCCGTAATTATCTCCGCCCGACTATGAATATAGTGGCTATAACCAGGGTTGCTTCCAGTCACTTGCTATAAAAAATGTTTTTCGGAATTATGAAATTATTAGATGCTTTAATGATATTTTGTGACGAGATGAACCAGCCCACTATCTAAAAATCTCTTTTAAAAATATATATATGAGGGGGTTAGAATGAAAGGGGTTTGACTTTGATCGATTCTCTTCATCGACTTTCTTTTTTGATAGCCACAGCTTTATAAACAGATTTTGCGCTATCTCTGCCACATAGTTTGATAAAGGAGGTTCTTATCTAGCATCCAGAATAGCACACAAATCAAGGAATGTGTTTGCAGCTGAATTATTAACGAAAGAGAAAGTCGATGAAGAGAATCGATCAAAGTCACTTACACCCCCTTTCCTTCTAACCACCTCACATATATTTTACTTGTAAGTTACAAGAAGAGGTTGTAAAGTATGTGTTCGACTCCTAAAACCTGTCAATTTCGCTTTCAGATCGTCAAAATCAGCGATTTAATGATTCGTGAGCGTTCACTGAGAGTGAGCGCTCACGAATCATAAAATCGCTGATTGTGACGCTCTGGAAGCAATATTGACAGGTTTTATGTGTCAAACACATACTTTGCTTATAACTTACAACACTGATTATCATTATAACATCTAAAGATTCCATAATTCCGAAAAACATTTTTTATAGCAAGTGTGTGGAAGCAAGTCTGGCGGTAGTTTTGAAATCCAGGGTCTCAAAACACAGAGAGCAAGCAACAATAGGACCAGTCCCATGTCCTATTGATTTCCTATCTACATGGGACTGTTATGCGAATAGCGGCAGTATAGGAGCGTGTACACCGAATTGCAAGTTTATATCATTGTCTTCATAAATCAGCAATGTAATGCAAATTAAAAATCACATCAAAAGATGTTTTTGATTTTTTCTAAATGCCATATCCAATTTTTCTTTGAAAATGCTGTGGGGCAAAACGGCAATTTGTCTTAAATCAATGAACCGATTATGCTTACTTATAAATAATTTCAATATTCTTGGATTAGACTAGATTTTCAGGTAGAAGTATTAATTTCATTGAATGATTCACAGTGAGTTTTGGGAAGAACTCTTCGAGGGAAGTCCAAGTCAATCAAACATTGAAAATTTCGAACGCAAAACCAAATTCAAGATCAAGGAAAAATGTTCCTGTCTTAGTAATGACCCATTTTTTAACCTAGTGATTACTTTAATCGCATTTGGCTTTATGCTTAACGTTATAGCGCACAACCAGTAAAATTTAAAAATTTGCGGGAAAAACGGGAATCTGCTAATCGAGATTTGCTGTCACCATGAATAACAGAGCAACGGACGCAAGCGGAACGTCGGCGACAAGTTTTACACTTGACACAAATGACTATGTTTGACTGCCATTGATCTTGTTTTCGCATTCTAATGTTATTTTGAGGTCTAGCGGATTTGACATGTTTCAAGTCGCTTCTAGTTTTAACTAATTCCCATCCAGGGGGCGACCCCGGCGTAGTGGTTAACATCCATACTTCTCACGCCAAAGTCACGAGTTCAAATCTCACCCCCGGACAAGTCACGAATGACCCAAGAGTGTTAAAGTGACTATAATAAAAAAAAAAAAAAAAAAAAAAAAAAAAAAAATTCCCATCTATGATTACTTTGGAGCACTTTCTGAAATTACTACCGGAAGAAAATCCAGGCCAATATCTCAAGACACTCCAGATATACTGGTTTTTTAAATTGATTATGCCAACCGGTCTGAGAGGGAAACCGTTAAGGCCCGTATTCAGCGAAACATGTTCTGGTCATATCTCCGGAACTGGTTGACTGATTCCAAAAATATTCAAAAGCGTTCAATGGGACCACCATACATTCCATTTGGTGGTGTTGCGTCCAACTCGGTGTGCACCGGCGACCGAAAAACATCTTACTTTATTCGTCACACACACAGACATTTTTCCGATCTCGTCGAGCTGAGTCGAGATTGGTAAATAGCACGGTAAAAATACTCCGCGAAATTTTGAGCAATGACTGTGTTGCGCGTATCGACTGATGCCCCGTATCTACATGTTCCGCATAATGAATCGCAATAAGAACAGAAAAGCCTACAGTGACCTAGTGAGCACCAGTATTGTGTATAACATGGAGAGGTCAACATGTATTACATGAAGATAACAGCCTATTAAGACTACAGTTGGTAAACTCTCGGAAAACAAAACTGAAAATATCGAGATACAGAACATCGAGCAAGGGAGACTTGACTGTATCAGGTAGGAAAATATCTCCTCCATCAGTTGGTGTTGTTTGTTTTTGGGTGAAACATTGTTTGCTAAGGCAAGTTTTTCAACTGAACAATCAGTTACCCGACTTTAGGCTCTTAATAAGTACGCTAGTTTATTTTAGATATTATACTTAGGAAGTATTCATAACATTCCACTAGCGCACTAGGCACGACGTATAATTAATTATTTCCTTAATTTCTCATTTCAGTGTTGTTATCAATTTGCTCTCTGCTATGTGATCCCAATCCAGACGACCCACTCGTACCAGAGATCGCTAGAATATATAAAACCGATCGAGAAAAATATAATGAACTTGCGCGGGAGTGGACAAGAAAGTATGCTATGTGATGCGTTCCAGAAAATAACCTAGAAATCAACAAAAACAACCACAACCAGAGAACCAACAATAACCACAACAAAAACAACAGAAAACAACAGCAACCAATTGTATCTGAATTGCTACTCGTACTACTCCTTCTACTGTTGCTCCAACCTACGCCACTCATCACTCGTAGGATGATTACTGATGATGATGTCGATAATGCCGGAAAAGGAGGTGGCCATGGCGATATTTTCGGTTGCAGCGACAGCATTGTGACTCCCCAACTTTCTTCTACCAACACCTTGCAGAGTTTCCGCCACCGATTCCTTTTCTCCGTTCGTCGTCCTTGTCGTACTCGTCTTCGTCGCCGTAATTATCGCCAGCAGTGGCTAGATGGACGACCGCACCGAAGAGATGAGCTACAGCAAATACAACAATATGCAAACAATACGTTTAACATTATTTATTAATGCATACCAACAGAAAAAAAAACAATGTCACGATAATCAGCTGGATAACAAGGAAGCTAGAAAAAAGATCATGATCTTAAATCACTACTGCAGAAGGAAGCTGAAAACAACAACACAAGAACAGTAAATAAATCTATTGATTACTCTTAAAAAACCATACCCCCATGGGAGAAGATCGTTTCGACGGCGATTGCGTGCGCGTTGGTTTTTGAACAATTCCTCTGAAACCCCTTCTCTATCTGTGTTAGTATTTGAACAGTAAATGCAATTGGCTGGACCTTCTTTCACTTGTTTCTTCTCCATTTTCATTCAAAGTTGTCAACCTCTTTTTTTTTTAGTTATTTACGGAAAATTTATGAAATTATTTAGTAAAAATGAATTGCTTTGTTCTAGCTAGTTTGTTTTTCTACTTTCGAAAAAGTTTGAAAGAATCGAAAAGCAGAGAAGATTTTTAGACGTTTCTCAAAGAATTGCTAATTTTTTGTTCGGAAAATTCCTTTTCCATTTGTGTATAAATTATGTTTTTAACATAAGAAAAGTTCTTATTCAAATTGCATTATTTTTTCTGTAAACAGAAAAGTAAATGAAGAAAATCACACGCTATATAATTGAAGAATCATGAGTTCATGATAATAAAAGAAACATAGTAAATGAAACAGAAATATACCTACTGGTGAATAATTTATTATTTTATGTTTGCTTAGAGAACTACGTGTCGTAACATTAAAGGAACACAAATAAACAGAAAATGAATTCATACGCCAGCGTTGAATGTTTAAGGGGAGATTTGAGATGCCGAAATGAGCGAGATTCGTGAGGAAACTTAATTCAAATAATGTAAGCACGTTTGAAGATTCGACGAAAAGAGCAGCAGGATAAAAACAAGAAATCTTTAATTAATTTTTATTAGTCTTTTTAATTAGATTAATTATTAATATTACTGCTACCTTATTACTAAACATATGAACAATATTACTGGAAGTAAAGCGAAACAAAAGAAGAAAAAAAATGATGCAAAACCCGTATGCCATGAGTGTGTTTGTATATGTGTGTATAATTCATTTTTCAGTCAGTTAGCTGGTCCACGTTCTGTCTCGAAATGTTGACTTCAAATTTGTGATCTTTGCCGTAATCTCGGATAACCGCTTTTTCTACGTAATCTTGACAGTAAATCTGTTGTCAATGTGATGCGCAAGCATTTATCAGACAAGTCAATCGGTACTGGAGATTGCATTGACAGATTTCAATTATGTCATATTTGAAAATTTTGTAATAAATAATCACGAATCTTTCACTGCTCGTTTACTGCATTATCTCCTAGATAAATTAAAGCTTCCTTTAACTAGCATAGTTTTATTACATTGATAATATTTTTAAAATTTTTTTTTGGGAATTAGCAAACATTGCAACATTATTGATAAAGCCACTTTAGAATCTTTTTAAGATTAGGGGTTGTAGAATTAAATATTAATTTGAGACTAGCAACTGAACAAAAACTAGCAACTACATAACGTACGGCTGTATGGTCTAATACTAGCAACATTATGGCGGTATCGCTTCAAAGTTCTTACACTCCCCCTTATTCTGCGAGTCACGTGACGCTCTGTCACCGGTGAGGTGACAATTGTGAGGTGACTCTCTGTGCAAAATAAAATGGACAGTCACCTCACACGACATGGCAATTGTCAGAGTCACGTGACTCGCAGAATAGAGGGGACTGTAACTGCAAAATATTCGATAATCAGGTCTATTTTGCGAGTCGTGTGACTCTCTATCACTAGCGAGATGACAACAGTCACATTGTGTGAGGTGATTCACCGAGCAAATCAAATGGAGAGTCACCTCACTAGTTTACAGAGATTCACACGACTCGCAGAATAGGCCTAGCCCCTGAATGACTATTAAGTACCGTAAAACGGGGTAACATTGATAGTTTTTTTTTAAGTATATTCAAAATATACTTGCACTGCAATGTTTTTCAAATTTAATTTATTTTTAAACAAGGGGGCTTATTACGGATGTCACTTCACGGTGAAAACTTGTCACTTGTCGTCACGGTGAAGTGATGCCCATTTGATTTGTACGGCAATCACGGCTCTTATTCTGAGTATCACTTCCTTATCACCGTGTAGTGACACCCGTAATAAGGCCCAAGTACTGAGGATCCTAGAGTCAATTCGTTGGTAATATGTTTAACGGAAATTAAAGCATTTGCACTACTTTTTTAGTCTTGTGTCCCAACATCAGTTTTTTTTTATTTGGGCTTACTTTGATAATGCTCGATGGATGTCGACGTGTGAAACTCAAATAACTTAGTTCTTGAAATATGAAACTTAGAATGAGTATATAATAAGAAAAAAAAAACATAATAAGCAATTACAATACAACATTGAATTTGTGGTGGCTAGATAGGAAATACATTTCATACGTCATGGTTTGAGTGCTTGTTCAAACAGATGAAAAACAAGATAATTGTTTTTTAATATGTTTGTAAAATATGTAACACATATAAAAACTATATACCATATCAACGGAAATATCTTAAGCTAAAATATGGAACCAATGTTTCTAATTCGGAAAAAGCGCTGAGAGTTAATTTAATCATTATATTCTACTATCAAAGCTACCCACTTTATCAAAGATACCCCGTTTTACTGTACTCAATAATGACTTGAAATTATGGAATAATTGTTACTCATATGTGTGGTATCAATTACTCAATAGTGGGTAACATTTTCCTTAAAAAAAATGCGTACTTTATAGTTAATATTGAGTATTTTGCGGTTACCGTGTAGTCCTTTGTGTAGCCTAATGCTGAACATTAAACTGAACGCTATGGCAATCTGGCCTGTGGGTTCGTTACTTTTTTTTTGGTTCTGGATCCCTCGTTTTTACGCTGGGCTCTTCTACTAACTTCTGCAGACCCTACGACGTTCGTCTTGTAATAACCGGCTTCGAGGTGAATACCATTTTTACGGCAAAGTTGCTGGATACTGGGTTCGCCAAATTCGTTTTTTATCGGGGTTGGAATTCGTTTTTTATCTGGGTTGGAAACAGTTCGAACGTTTTAAAAACAAACGATCAAACTGTTGTAGGGTTTTTGATCTAATTTCCGTCCTACTAAGGACATCGCGCACTTTACCACGCTTTTTGGAAAGGGTTTGAACAAAACATGGAATGTTTTCATCAAAGATAACTTCTAAATTTATCCACCTTTACGTACCGTTGGATTTGATAAAGAGTCAAACAATGTTGAGATATTATTAAAAATCTAACACTGCTTCTTGCTTCTAAATTCGTCCTACGCGTTTCAATTCCGTCCAAACGCATTGAAACGCCATTAGATTTCCTTCGTCCTACGGATAAACGGAGAAAAAGGGGATGCGCTAGGAGCGCTTCTTTTGTTTTGAGAACAATGAGCGTAAATATGCATACAATGCGCTCTAATAGGATTTATGTTATAGCTAATGAACTAACGCATCGGAACAAACGTATTATTGTTTTGTGCATTGTGAAATCATTGATATTATTGATGATTTCTGCTCGATAGAACGGAAATGGGCGATTACGACGAAGTAGCGCTCTTCCCTACCTATGTCAGAAACAAAGCAGATCAAATCTTGATACCCTATCCAGGTTGGAAATGAATAATAAACGAATTCGCTATAATCCGCCAGCTTGATTGTCACCTACCTATCGATTAGAGAACTCATCGATCTTCGATCTTCGAGCCTTCGATTTTCATTCCATACACAACAGGGTGGCCACGGAATCGGGGAAACCGGGAATCGAAAACAAGCAGAAATTTGATTGAAACATTAAAAAAGTTTTTTAAATGTTGCATATATTAACTGAATTCTGTTAGAAGTCCCATATCTTAAATATGTCACATTTTTCGATGTCAGAATCTCCCGGAACGCTTCTTAGTTTTTGTTAATGAAGCTCAAAATTTCCTCTGAAATCTGCATTTGAAACCCTCTCGGAAATCTCTTTAAATTCCCTCAAAATCCTTAAAAATTCTCTTAGAAATTTCTTCGATGCACTTTCATAACGTTCGACCTAGTGTCATTCGAACAATTACATGTAACATACAGGGTGTCGACTGCCTGAACAAAACCCGGAATATCAGGGTAATATTTTTTAATCGGAGAATACTGTTCAAAAGTATGACTGACCTAGCTAGTATCATACAACCCTTGTCCTGCTAAAGGGTTCATCCGCTAGGATTACGTTTGACTAAAGGAATTACAATTACAACTTAATTACTCGGCGTATTATGAGGGTATATTAAGAATCAATAAAAATTCACCTTCCACTGAGTTTTGACACATCCCTGCTGAGATGAACTGGGATTCAGAGGGTTGGTAAAAATCAATTTCAATCTTTGAGTAGACGTTATACCATAGAGGTAACTCTAAGACCAGAAGGTCCCGAAGAAACGAGCTCAACGTTTTGCTCTCAAGCTTTTTGGTCATAAGCTAATCGATTTACCCCTCGAAACATAGGAAAATGTACACAGCAAAAAAAAATGTAATATCGATCAATGTAATTCAAGCTGATGTATGAAATAATGATGTAATAGCAAAAAGCAGATACAATATTACATCAATGGATGTAATTTTGTTCGCAAAATCGATGTACATCGTACAACGTTATATTACACAACCGATGGATTGACCTGGTTGCAGCAGTTTGGATGTAATATTCAACAACTTTTTTTTCTGTGTAGAGTCGGTGTATAATGAGTCACGCCAAGAGAAAAACAGTTGAACTCGCATCACGGTTTTCGAAAGATTCCCTTTCTTTTAATTTGGCAACAGCGGACTTCTCCACCAACTTCAAATGACTTCTAGCGAGAAAAAATAATAGCGGCTGTAGTAAATCATTCCCCCCTATTCTGCGAGTCACGTGACTCTCTCTCACCGGTGAGGTGACTCTCAATTTGATTTACATGGAGAGTCACCTCACACGAGGTGACAATTGTCACCTCACCGGTGACAGAGAGTCACGTGACTCGCAGAATAAGGGGGATTATATCAGTGATTTTGCCAAATTATCTTAACAAAAAATAGTAGACATTCTCATTACTGGTCATTACCAAACGTATCCCATGACAATTGAATGCTCACTGCGTGTTTATTATCATTTATTCTATTATA